TGATTAGATTATTTTTATGGGAATATGTTAAAGAACAGTCTCAATAACCAATAAAATATAAAAGAGAAATTATCAAGAGCCTGTGCATCAATGACACATAATGTTAGCAATGTTCAAAAGCATTATTTAATGAGACTAAATGAATGTCTGAATGTAAATAAGATGCTATTTAAATAAATAAAAATTCATACATTTTTTTGTAAATTGATTTCTGTACTAATTTGTTAATCGTTATTTCTATTTTATATAATACTTTTTTAAAAAATGTGATTTAAAAAACCTGCAAGTTGCTACTTTTTTACATGAACAGTTATATAAATGAACTTACGTGGGCTTGTTATATAAACATATTACACATATTTAAAAAACTTACATCTATATGCTAGTCTATTATTGACAAGTTATGTATATTAGAAAATACTACAAATATTTTATATTTTAATTTGTTGAATAAAATATAAAATAGTTACCTCTCTAACAATGAAATAACTTTATGCAATTCAAACTTACCAAGTAAACAAAGTGTTCTTTGAATAACAGTTTGTTCTTCATTGGAATACATTTTATTTTGGAACATTTTATTATAAGAAAACATTGGGTTATCAAAAAGTTTCTTCATTTTTTAAGATAATAATAATAATACCCAAATTTAAAAATAAAAAACTATTAAATTATATAAGCACTTTTGTTTTTATTACTTTAGCCCATCTGTTGAGATCTACTATCCCACATGCAAAAAATTATGGGGAGTTTTTGTCAAAAAATGTCTCCAAGTGGTTTTTCACATCATCTAAGTTATTGAACTTCTGCAAATTATTCTGGAAAGAGAGAAATAAATAGTGTCCTGTAAATCTGAAGGCACAAGATTGGGAGAATAAAGAAATGGCACAAAACAGCCCATCCAAATTCCAATAATTTTTCTCAAGTGGTCAAAGACAAACACAGCCTAGAATTGTCATACTGAAAAGCCACATTCTTTCTTCTTACTGATATTGGCCAATTTAATTTGATGGCTGCCTTCTATTAAGTTGGAACAGTACTTCTCTGTATGAATGAACTGATTTGAGGTAACAGTTTATAACAAATAATTCTCTGCCAGTCCCACCATATGCTCAGTATAATCTTTTACAATGTAACTGACTTTTTAGTGTGTTGCAAAGGCACCACTTGAGTTTCTCCAAAATCTTTTCACTGCATATTATCATAAACAATCCATTCTTCATTGTCAGAAATTAGTTGCTTTAAAAAAATATATCTGGTTATGTTTCAACTGTGAATCAGGCAGATATTCCATCTATCACATTTCTTTTGCTCATTTGATATAATAACCATCAATAGCTGAAAGTTTCCAGATAGCAGTATATCTTCTAAAGAAAAACTCTCTTTATGGAACCTCTTAAATCACTTTTAATATGTATGGACATTAACAGCAGCTTCACTGTAAACAATATAAATCCTTTGTTTATGTGCAGTTGTAGCATTTTTGTTTTATGAAAGTAGAAAAGCATAAGATAACAAAAATGCAACTCAAGATTCTCCATTTTTAAATTCAAAAATTTGATTATAATAATATCATTTCTGTTCATTAATAATTTATACTGATAACATACATTACGGATATTATATTGAAACTAATAAAAACAATTAATCGTAAATTGCCATTAACTTAATACTTAAAAGTAAATTGCTACTAGTGTAAAAAATGAACAAACTTTATAATAAATCACAGTATTTTCTATTGAATATAGTAACAGCAATCTTTTCAGAAAGTCCATACTAGTCTATAAATTACAAAAGAAAGGTTTATATTACATTTTATGTGAATATACAGTCAAACTTAGATCTTGTATTACTATTTGTTCATCTCTGAAACTGGCACTAAATTGAAGTACCTCAAAACAATAAGAATTATAATTAGTAATTAGATGTACTTACAAATCTGAGATTATAAAACATTGTGCCACTGTAAATAAATTCTGCTATCATCAGGAATCCAACTTTTTATTAAAAAGAAATAGATTAATTTTGAATTTGTTCTAATTTATATATTCTATGTTACACTATTGTCTAAACTATTAATTCTAAGAGTTTAAACTGAGGATGGTCAGATTTTGACCAAAAACATTTCTTCTTAATAAAACACTGGCTTCATGAAACTAGCAGAATTTATTTATTTTCATACAAATTTGAATTTGAGGAGAAGTCATGTGATTTGGTGATAATGTAGTTTGCAATGCAAAATCATACACCATATTTATTTTAATAAACTGCAACCTCTAATAAATAGCACAGCTGAAAGATGAAAAAAGTTAGACAATGCCCTCTAATAGTAAGTGCATTGTCTATTGGAGGAAGATAAGGCTTTTAAACTGAAAAATTGCAGTCTATTCATCATTGTCACTCTTTACTGTATTTTGACAAAGTGTGTTGAGTGTTGCATTGTTGTTCATATAGTAGTAATAATAATAATAGTAAAATTACAGGATTTATTTCATTAATAGAGGCACTTAATTCCCAAAGAATAGAACTAACAGTTGCCCGTTAACAATAAGTGCTCTTTAATAAACAGTGCAGTTGCAAGATGAAAAAAAGTTATAGACAGCATATCCTTTATTAGAATAAATATGGTATTTAATAATGTACAGATACTGAAGGATCCTCTAACATTTGTGAAGATCTGTCACCAGTATTTATTGACATTTTATGAAAATGCAGTATTTAACAGGACACTATGTTGAGGTTTGGTTTTGTATCATTTAATCATTTTCATTAACTCAGAAAGACAACTATCTTTCTTGATTTTTATAATAGTTCTTATTTTTACTTTTTTATTCACAATTCCTAAAACTCTGATAGTGTTTTAATAGATTTGAGACTATAGAATGACTAACATTCAGACAGATGTTTAACAGATAAACAACATATAAAAAACAAAACATAAGGTTGAATTTATTTTGTTTATTTATAAAACAAAAAAATGTGTGTATATGTACAGTACAGTATATATATTCGGACTGTTATACATCTGTCCAAATATTAAATAGTGTCACTGTATGTGCTTATATTGAAATTTAAAATTGGTGTCTATTATTTAAACATGTATTGTATTTAGATTGAAACATCTAGTTTTGAAAATGAAAGCATTATTACAACTTAATAAATAGACAATATTTTATTTTTATGACTTTAAAAAAAAACAGTTATTTAAAGTGTTTCTAAAGCCTTTTCTATAATACTGTTTTCTTAAACAGAAACTTTAAGGTTTTCATTAAAATATTAATGACTTGATCAATAACAATTTTAGATTTTTAATATATGATTTTTAAGATATCCAATTATGTAGATAATTGATTTCTTGTATAGATATAATTTTATCCAAATCACAGCCTTTTATTTAAACTTATTTTTACATTTAAGTTTAACGACATTATACATTTTGAAAAAAAATTTTTTTACATAATTATTATTCTAAATATAAAATATTTAGAATAATAATTAAGATAAAAACTGGCCTGCAAACACAAGAGAGATATAGCTATAGAAACAAGTTTACAAAAATATCTAGAATCCATATTAGTCTATCTGAATATATGTAAAACTAGAATTAACAAAATGCAATATTGAACAAGTTCAACAAAATTAAGAAACTACAGCCTATGATATCAAATTTAATTAGAACAAATAAAGAATCTTATAATTTCTTTCTGTATTCAATTGGAACCCAATAATAGCTAATTGAGTTAGCCTGACTGCTGGTTAACTTAATCAAGAGCTTATATGTAAGATGCAAGTAAAGAAAGCCCCTTTTGCAATTTTTTGTTCCTATTGTAATCCTCTACAGCTCTGTTAAAGTCCCAATTGTGTCATTCGGTCCTAGAATTGTACCAATGATAGAATGTTTCTTTATTAATAAAAAGAAGTTTAAAAATTTTATTTTTTGTTAGTAAAAATAATGTTAATTTAGAGGTAAAGGAACTATAGCCCCTAAGTTTTCTTCAGGCCCCAGGAAAATTCCCCTTTATGTTAGAGCTGTTATCAGCAAGTTCCAATTGAACACAGGACATTAAAGGTTTAGTTTATTTTGTATGCAAAACCAATGATCATCAATAGAAAGATGTTGGGCTTGAGAACAGCATCAGTGTCATCCTCAGATCTTTTGATATATTGCTTCTAAAGATAGGCAGGGAACATTTCAGAATTAGAGAAAATGGAGTCTATATTTGATTGAACTTCGGTTTTAACAAATTTATTTATTTGTTGATCTATAAATTAGTGATATTATATTGAAGTATTAATAAAATCGCACTATTTAAATATTTAAAAAAAGACAAAACAGGGAATAGTACCGGAAATCGGGATATCTGGTCACCCTACTGAAGATTAAGCTCTATCTATCAATTCAATTTTCGTTCTTATCAAAAGAAGTAAACTCTATTAAACATCCGGTCTGATAAATATTTTTCTCATTCGAAATCAAATTTTAAATATTCAAAATTAGTTTGATAATAAGAATTGTATTTCTATTTAACGTCTGTTAGCACATTTTTAAAGAAAATTTACCTATAAATAAAACTAGAAAACTGCCGCGACTCTTTCAAAAGTTGTCTGTAAAGGCTTATTACTTCACTCCTGGCAGCAGCCATATTTTTTTTTCCTATTCCTAAAGCGCCGTCTGGTGGTAAACGATCGTTAGAGAAAACCTTAAAATAACATTAAATAATAAATTTTCCTATTTATTTGGCCTAATATAAATTAACAAAAATTCATTGATTAGCTTAACTATCATTTTAACTTACAAGTTACTTAATTAAATGTTAATTCTTAAATAATTTTATTGTTTATATTAAAAATTCTATAACAGTTAATGTCTAAACATCTTATAAATTGAACGTTTACGGTTATGTAAAGTTTATAAAATGTATATGGATAATTTAAAGTAAAAATTTGATTTATGAGTCATTTCTATTCAGAGCATTTCATCTGGCAACAGTGATCTTGCATTGACTTTCGTGCATAGCACGTGTGTTTTATTTTGATTTATAGTATTTGGATAAATATGTTAGAAAGTACAAATTTATAAATTTGCGAATAAAATAATCTCGGAATAGTTCATAGATTTATTCGAAATGAACTTAGTTACAGTTTATATTTTAATTGGCATTTAAATCTAAACTTAATATTCGGTATTTTAAGGCATTAATATTATAATTAAACATTAAAATATATATTGTGCTAGATAGTAGTTGTAAATATAAGACTTGGTAGTTTGTTAACATGTATATAAAACTTCATAAGGTAATTAATTTTAGTACTATTAATTTTCAATCAAAAAGGAGTATTTTTAACTCTCCAAGAATTTTTTCAACATTAAAGACATCTACAAGTATTGGGGAAGACATTGTAATAGGAAATATTAGTTATAAAAAAGATAATTGGACTAATGTTTCAGCTCATCTACTTTCTTTTGTTGGAAAGAATATTTTTTTACAAAAGCATCACCCATTATCTTTATTAAGACAAAGAATTGTTAATTTTATGTATAAAAGATATGTTAACCGTTCAAGAAATCCGCTGTTTTCTGTATACGACCATTTAAGCCCAGTTGTGACATTAGAACAAAATTTTGATAGTTTGTTAGTTCCTAAAGATCATGTTAGTCGTAAGATTAGTGACAGTTATTACATAAATTCAAAATATATGTTGAGAGCGCATACTTCGGCACATCAAAGAGATTTAATTTTAAGCGGTTTAGATAATTTTTTAGTTATTGGTGATGTTTATAGACGTGATGAAATAGACTCGTCTCATTATCCCGTTTTTCATCAAATAGAAGGAGTTCGCTTATTACTTCCACAAGATGTAAGTAATATATATGTTTAATTTAAATTTTAAGACTTTTTTCTTAAATAAATTCGATTTAAAATGTATTTTACAATTTAGTTGTTTAAAAATCAAGAAAATCCTGACAATTTATCTCTTTTTGAAAATGGCAAAAGATGTTCAAGGAAACAAGAATGTCACACACTAGAAGCCACATTGTTAATGGAACAAGAATTGAAAAATTGCCTTACTATTTCTTCTTAATAAAACACTGGCTTCATGAAACTAGCAGAATTTATTTATTTTCATACAAATTTGAATTTGAGGAGAAGTCATGTGATTTGGCATAAATATTTGTTAAGTTTTAAATTTTATTGTAATTGTTGTGACATTCTATGACATTGTGCTTAATCAAAATTAGTAGTAATAATTTAGGAAANAATTTCATAATTAATTAATATTTAAAATTTGTCATAATTTAAATATACTTTCAAAAATTTAATTATTTTTGTAATTTTCAGGAATGATTTCTAAAAATTTAAATACTAAAGCTTAAGAAATCAAGCTGTCTTTCCATAACTTCTGATAGACTTTATTTTGAATATTCTAACAGACATCTATCTTTCTAGAATATCAGAGTAAGTCTGCTAGACTAGCAATCAAGATTAAGTTAAAAATATAATCAAATTCTACATGAATATAAATGAGAATTACTGATTGAATGACAGCTGTTTATATCATTTTCAAATTTTGTGATAGATTAAAATTGACATTGGCATGTAATCATTATGAAATACTTAATAAATCCACCAACGATAATGTAATCCTATGGAAGACAAATTATAAAGCACATTAAAAATTACTATTAAATGCTTTCTTGTTATTGAATTCAACCCTTAATATAAATGGCATTTTTTCAATTATTTCAATTTTATAAACATGTATTATTTTTACATTTCATTTCTAATCATTTTTAAAAACTATTCTTGCTTTTTAACAAGTTAATTTATATAACTGAATAATACTATGTTGGTTCTAAAGTTAGTACTCTGAAAAAATTCAATAAAATTTGAAATAAATTATAAACTTTAAGATTTAAACTACTAATTCACTTGAATGAATTTATTAATTTGCAATTTATCAACTTAAGTAGTAAAACATCAAAATTTTAGGAAGTAATATACTCAACACCTAAGAACAAGTACTATACATACAATTAGAAACAACACTTTAATATACATTCTTACTAATTTGATACAGTTTGCATAAAGCCATTGTTCCCAGCAGTGCCGGCCTGAGGCAAGTTTTAGGATGGAGCGAGATCCTATTATGGCGCCTCCCTTGGTTGCTCTTAATTTATACCCTTTAATTTTCTTTACCACTGAGGCGCCCCCTAGGACTTAGCGCCTGGAGCGTCTGCTCCGTTCGCCCTATGGTAGGGCCGGCTCTGGTTCCCAGTTTGCAAAACCACTTATTTAAATCCTGATTTTGATGCATAAATATTTGTTAAGTTTTAAATTTTATTGTAATTGTTGTGACATTCTATGACATTGTGCTTAATCAAAATTAGTAGTAATAATTTAGGAAAAAGTCAATTTTGTTAAAAATATGTATAATATACTTTAAAATTTCAGAATTAAATTTAAAGTACTGAAACTTTGTCAAAAGAATGTAATGTAAGAAAAATGTTTACTCAAGAACAAATTTCTTTCAAACAAATGTAAACAGATTTAGCATGACAATAGTATAGACAGTTTTATCTGAATCCAAAACNGTCATTGGAAGCGGTGGATGCACCACTTCCCTTGTATTTTCTAAAAAATAAATACATATTAATTTTAATTATATGAAAATAATCACACAATACTGTATCTTATTATAACCGCATTATGTATCTTATTACAAATTTCTATACTACACATGAAAAAAAAAGATAAGATTGCTATTGTATATTTGAATATTAGAGGCAGAGTAGAAGCACTGTATCGTCAGCTTCCAAAAAGCCAGATTCGCGCATGCACTTTACAGATTAGTTCCCCCGGTTTCCAGATTAGTTCACACCAACCTCACCCAGTTTAGCTGGTGGAAGCCTAGAACTTTGGGTGGATGCTACACATATAAATCTTCCAATTCTATCCAGGACCTGTTCTAAGCTGATAGCTGCCTGGCCATTAGGTATTTGGCATCCTTGCCCAATTATGTGAATCACCAGTAGATTTATAACTTAACCCAACTGATATGAATTTACTGGTATGTTTTTACGATAGTTCTGTATAGTTGAAAGGAGTTTAAAAAATTCATTAAAATATTTGATATTTTTATTCTGCTCTCCGATTTTATATTACTTACGGATTTCAATGTTAAACCAGTGATATTACAATTTCGTATGTCCCTTCTCTAAGGTGATGTAGAAAAAAACGTGTACAATTCTGTATAATGTTAAAAAATTAACTTTTACTTTGACAGCATCATTTACAACTAAATTTAATGAATGAGAGAGATGCACAAGGTACAGAAAAAGCTCTAGAATTTATTTTCCTTAAATTTACGATTTATGTATCCATTTGTCATAAAAATTTGTCTTTCCACTTTTTTTCCGAGACTACAAATATTCGAGTACAAAGTAACTGGTTTTGGCTTATTTCTATTTAAGAAGTAGTTAAATAATTAAGCGATTAGGGAATTGGGGACATAAATAAAACCCTGACGAAAGAGCCAATATTTTACTTAAACAAAAGCTTAACCGAACCATCTCTAGCCGAGTACAGCGGGGACTGATTTCTTCGTAATATTAGATGTAATAAAGAAAGAAATTTTTCCAGTTCAATGAGAGTGACCGAAAAGTTGTAAAGTTTGAAAATTTCCATGGACCCTGGTCCTAAAACGAATTAGTTAGAAAACAAATGACGGACAATCTATTAAGTTTAACATATTTAGATTTTTACAGCTATGGTGAGAAATGTTTAAAATCTACAACAATCTTGTCATGTCCTTTGAGATATCCTAGTTATGCGACAAAAGAGGCATTTGACATTGACTGGTATCAGCACCCTGAGGATTTGGCAGCCCACGTGCATGCATCTACCAGGACCGTCTCTGATTCCATCCATTAGTCACTCGTAGGGAGCTATTTGAATAAATGGATTGTTTTAAGATTTAAAAAGTAAAGAAGATTTTATGTTATTTTTATGTACGTTTCTTTACAAAGCTATATTTAATTATAATTTTCTTTAAAAGTACCATATTTTGACGAGTATAAGTCGCTGTCAAGTATAAGACGCACCCCTATTTTGAGACAAAAAATTTAGAAAAAAACTGTTTTAATAGGATTGTCTAAAGATGCATTTTATTTGTTTTTTTATTCAAGAATATGACGGATGGATGAATTGATACCTTTATTAAACTGAAATAATCGTCATTTCTTAATGTAAACTCAGATTTCATGTGATGATAGTCGACAGAACATGGCGGCGATGACTCGTGTGTCGCTACTCTGATAATCTAGATACTATAGTCATTCGGTTGAGGGACCATCTGCTTAATGGACCACTGCACAGTTTGGTCCCTAGAGTGGACCACTACTGTAGGTAATTTCACTGTAAAAATGGTTACCTGTCGAGTATAAGACGCACCATGGTTTTGAGCCCCAAAAAGTAGTAAAAAAAGTGTGACTTATACTCATCAAAATACGGTATATTAATATAATTGAAGAATATTTTGTACCGGGTATGTACTGTATATCCATCATGTATTTTATTTCACCGAGTAAGTTTTTATTATTTTATTTATAATTTTAGCTCTTATATTGTGGCTAGAGATTCAGAATGTAATTGTGATATTAAAAATGCATTTAGAGAAGTCTACGGTTTTTACTGGCTTATTGAACAAACGATACAAATGGACCCTTGACCATCACTGACACGCAATTAACTGATTGCCCCTGGAAGTTGGCTTCTTACAGAAACACGGCTTCCCTATTATCAAATGTCATGGCACGCCACTGTTGTCTTTCATCTATCTAACTCCATTCTTGAGATTAAAGAAAGATAGATGACAGTGGGAATTTATAGGTCTACATTTTTTTCAAATTGCAGTCTTAATTATCTTACACTAATTTTAATTATTATTAAATTAATATTTCTAAATAATGAACTAAATAAAATTTAAATATTAATATGTGAATAATTAATTAAGATATACGAATAAAAATATCAATGTTTTAAAAAGTTTTTAAATTTACCTTATTATACTTTTTATTATTTTAATAGATCTATGTTTAATTAATAATTCTGTAAATTGTGAAAAAATTTTAGTGAAAATGGAAAAATTTTCTAAAAATATTTTTCGATAAATCAAAATAAAATTTTCGACTTTCATTTATTTGTTTATATTTAAGAAATATTGAATGTACTGGTATATATTTCTCGTTTGCAATAGTTAGAGAGGTAAAAACGAGAATGTTATTTAAAAACCACATAGATAAAATAATAAAATCTGTTGCCGTACATTGGAGTATATTTTGGCATTTAATTCTCTCTTTATTGGTAATGCTGTACAATGTCCAAATATCCTTTAACAGATGTCCAGTAAATCAACAATGTATAATTGGTTAAACTGAAGCCAACAATGCCAATTGGGCAAGGAAACTTTCCTTATAAGCATGTAATATGATGGAAGATTTTGAATTAAATGATATTTTTTCCTGTCACTAGACCAAATAATGTCTTCAAATTTAATTGTATGTGTATTTTGAATTATCCAAACTAAAATGTATGCAAAATCTTATTCTGTTGGCTAGGGACTAGAATTTGACTTCAAATTATCTGATATTGAAATAATGAGGTTTTACTGTAAATTCTTAATATAATTTTTTTATTTTTTTGATTCTTAAATACTTTAATATTAATACATTTTTCTACTTTATCTTTAATAAACTATTTTGCATTTTGATCAAAAGTATTATAAATATTTAAATGATTTAATTTCATCTACTTATATTTTTATAAGCTGTCCTCTACATAATAATATAAAATTAAACTTGACATATTGTTGCTAGTTATAATATTTGTTTTTCAATTACTGAGTACACTTTTTTCACCATGTTTTTATATCTGTTACTAAGTTTGAGACTATTTTGTGTTTTTATTTTGAAGAAAAAAAGGCCTTTATCATTATGTTATACATTGTTTTATTTAATGTTTTCATTCTCAATACAGTATTTCTATTCATTTGTTTTATTATTGTTATTATTATTAATAATGCTATTTTATNGATAAAAAAATTGCAAATGCTAATAACAAGTAAAATTATCATTAAGTCCAACCCTTTTCAAGACATGACACACAACCTCACTTTATCTTCTCCACCCCATTGATCTTTAACTGCCAAAATTTAGTAGTGTAAATTCCCCTAATACATATATCTCTCTGCAAAATTTCAGAAATTTTTGATTAAAAAGCATAGCAGCTATTAAGCTTCAAAAAAGGTGAACAAAATCATGCCTTATATGTACTAACATCTATACATACAGAACAAACTCCAAAATTTGTTTGCATTTCTTGATGTTTCAAGGTCCCAAGTCCAAAAATGTAAAAATCTGGGGGGTAATTTTTTGGATTGATTTCCATACTTTTTCTCTGTTATATATATCAGGGGTGGCCAACAAGTCAATCGCGATAGACCGGTCGATCATGAAGCCAATTTTGGTCGATCGCTCGCGATGTCTTCAATTAATGTGTTACACTTGTAACCGAACGTAACGTGCAAACGCAAATGTAGTGATATTGGACCACCGCGTCCTCTCTCAGATGCGGCTTTGTCAGTTCATGTGATATTCATTTGCGTACATTTGTAAAAGGGAAATAAGAAATGTAGACAAAGGATCGTAAAACCAAAAAAAAAAGTGGGAAGAGGGACAGAGGGAGTAGTCGGGACACAGTAGAAAGAGGAAGGGTGAAGTGGTGGTCCCCGAAAGTGATAACGTTGAGTTTCAATTTTTATTCTGTTTACAACCTAAGTACCTTTTCTTCATGTTTTAAATAAATTGTGGCTTTTCTTACCTATCTAAACATAGTATGTATTTCACACCACCTCCTCGTCACTTAGACTAACCCTACGACAACAAGTCGATCGTGACACATTTTTAAGATAAAAAGTAGATCTTCTGTACATAAAAGTTGGCCACCCCTGATATATATCATACAGAGGTACAGAGCCAAGAAAGTAAAACATTAATCATGAAGCCAGAGGATTGCAAGGGAACAATTGCACCCTTTGTTCCTTAATATCCATTTTTATTTTTTAACAATTGAAAATTGTTTATATGTAAAAGTAAACTACAACTAGTTGCCAAGTATATATAAACTAGCAGGCCCAGCTTTGCTCAGGCAAAAAATAAATATAGTACAGTAATATCCCAAACTTACGCAATAGGTGGGACTGAGTGATAACCGTGTAAGTCGGGGTATAATTTCGCAATTTGCGTAAAATCCAAGTCGGATGTATGTAAGCTAATAAATGTTCTTGTTAATCTTATCTTTCTTTTGATTCGTTCACGGTTACACAAAATCACCACATAGAGTCTCTCAAAGCTTCGTAGATATAACAAACAGAAGTAAATCACACAAAATAAATTGTAGCTATGTGTCAATTCCACATGACATGTCTGAACATGTAAGCTGAACAATAGTGTGGGGGGAGTGAGTAATCAAGAGTTGTGTGGTGCTCAAACAAAAGACGAATCGACAAGATTTGAAAATCGCGTAAGTCAGGGTAGCGTAAGTTGAGATATTACTGTACAAACATTAAGATTATTAGATTATTTTGTACTTCTAACCAGTGGCATACCCAGGATCTGAACTAGAGGGGGGGCAACTCATAGTTCCTTTGAGTGCAAGAATAGCAATGAACAGCAAAATAGTTCTAAGATTTCATGACAGATGGCTCTAGGCTCTAGTCTAGTCACAGTATTCCTTATTCAAACTGATACTAAATTTATACATCTGTCTGTCTGTCAATNAACAAAATAAATATATTGAAAAATATAAAAACAATAAAAAATTATACTTCAGAAGTTAATTTAGTATCAAAAACTTAAAATATTTGAGTAGCAGAAGACATAGCCAAAGATTACAGCGCCACAGCACTGGCGAAAATTTAAATTTGTTGACTGGAATTCCTTCGGATAACCGACGCTCTACTGTATTATATATTTTAGCTCTAATAAACCAATTTCCTGTTGTTTTTTTTTTCTTCTTTTTAGCTTAATTTTACAAGATAAAATGAACAATTGTAAACTTAGTTTAAATTCAATTTTAAGGTTAATAATTTACACTGTATTTGCATTAGGCCTAAATAAGAAAAATTTACTTTTGCCTAGAACAGTATTCTTCGGCCTTGGGTCTGCAGATCGGCACTGGTCTGTGGAAATTTTCTGCTAGTCTCTGAAAAATTTTGTAGACTGACGTCACACTAACTAAAAATCGTAATTTTGGAACAATAATCTTAATAAACAAAATATTATCTGCAATGGTTTTTATTTCTGTCAAAAGGTTTTCTGTCAAAAGGTCAAATGGTTTTTATTTCTGTCAAAAATTCCTCATATTAAATGCAGTTTAATATGAGGAATTTTTTTCCCTAATTACTATGTCTTTTAGCCGAAAAAACTAATTATAATTTTTCTGATTAAAACTGATTATAATTCCAATTTAAAAAAACAGTATTTAATATCTATAAATGAGATATGGTCAATAGATGAAATAACATTAATTTAAGAGATATATCAAGTTACATTTATATAGCTGCAGTTTGTATTTATTTATTATTTTTGTCTCATAATCCTCTTATTATAAATGAAAATATGAAAATCATATCTGTTTAATAGTATTAAGAAATGAATTCAGACAATGCTTTTAATTTTTTTTTGCATGTTATAATTTGACATTCTGAAAGTATATATTGTATTAAGAATATTTTTGCATATTTGTTATTCATGTTAACAAAATATATTATTTGTCTAAAAAATTAGTTAAATATCGGGTAATTAATGAATTTAATTCAGTATATTAAACAAAATAATATATTATTGTAAGAAGAATTATGATGTATTTTATTTATGCAGATTTTTAAAATGTAAAATTTGTTAAACACAACAATTGACACCTAAATGCTAATTCCAGCACTGAATGAACAAAAAATTTTAATGCTCTAATGTTTTTGGCCATCTTTTAAAGGCCCTTTTCAGGAATGTATAAAACACACAGAAAAAACAGTTCTCTCATTTGAAAACTTCTAACCGTCGAATACAGCTGTGTTCCAAATTTTTAAATATTTAAACAATGTACTGTATGATATAAAAATCGTTACGATGTGTAATTATTTTTCATCTTTCTGCTTTGTAAAAGAAAACAATTTCCACATCGTTTACATTGCGCTAATTTTTACAACACTATAATAATAATTTATGTATAGCTTTATTTAAAAATAATTATTTTTATGTTGTAAAAGTACATTGTACAGTACATTGTTTAAATATTTAAAAATTTGGAACACAGCTGTATTCGACAGTTAGAAGTTTTCAAATGATAGAACTGTTTTTCCTGTGTGTTTTATACATTCCTGAGGAGGGCCTCTAAAAGATGGCCGAAAACGTTCGAGCATTAAAATATTTTGTTCATTCAGTGCTGGAATTAGCATTTAGGTGTTAATTGTTGTGTTTAGTATATAGTTCCTGTTAACTTGTGCTATTTTTTTGTCTGTAAAATTTGTTATAAATTTTAAGAATATTTGTAAACTCATATTTTTTAGCAGTTTGATTTTAGCAAAAGTTTAGAAATTAAAATAAAATGTAATGTGTAGTTAAATATTTAATATTTAGTAATATTATATTGTTGTTATAGCTGGTGCCAGCGAAAAAATTGGTTGGGCTTTTGGACTTGGATTAGAACGTTTGGCAATGAAATTATATAGTATTCCTGATATTCGTTTATTTTGGAGTACCGATTCTGGATTTTTGTCTCAGTTTCAAGTTTCTTTTGATACCTCTGTAACATACAAAGTATTTATTTTTTCATAAAATCTTTTTTTACATTCTACATATAATTTATGTATACTAAATATATTTTAAAGCAAAATTGTAATGTTGCAAATTTATAAATTGCATTACTAATATTTACTCATTTCTAAACTGCACTTTTATAAAATACTCACTCAAAAACCTTTTAATGCAGTATATGCAGTTACATATACTGCATTAACAATGAAAGAACTGCAGAAAAAACGGTTAGACGTTTGTACATTTTAGAATATTTTTTCTGAAGATCATTTGAAATGATCGAAAATGTTAGAATAAAGTTACATATATTGCATTAAGAGATTTTGAGTGAGTATTGCATTACTAATCTTTACTATTAAATTACAAATCAATAAGTAGGATTTCAGAACAAAATATGTAAGATAGATTATATAATTTTTTTATTTGAAATTTAATTCAATATATAGGGTGTTCACAAAGTCCATGAAACATTACAAATGGCTGTATTTTTGTAAGGAGACATAGACTTGTGCTCGAATGCCCACAAAATGAAAAACGTACTCAATGAATTATGTTTTCACATCTTACAAAGATTCATTGTACCTTTGGTCACACAGCACACATCTATCCTATAGTCCATTTTTCTCTATACATTACAAATGTACTTATATTTTTTTTATATGCTTATATTACAAATGTACTTATAAATATACCACTCACCAAACCATCACCAGTTCATGTCACAAAAAAAGCAAAATTCTTACAAACATTTTTGTCTATGTGAAATAGACAATCTTCAGGTCTCAATAATATTGAACAAATGGCTAGTAAAATAGAACGTTTTTTTCAAAAGTTCAGATTGATTGCATAATTCAAATATGTTGCATCAAAATTTATGTAATATTCGGGATATAATTTCAAAATATGTAAAAAATTTAAATGATATCTGAATAAATAATCAATTAATTTCATGTAAATTATTATGATGGAAATATCCTCCATAATTTAAATTATCCTTAATGCAAGTTTTTGTCAGTGGAATTTAGTTCAAAAATGGCACGTCATGCTGTGGATAGTGTGTCTGTTTCCTTGAAGTTAATACCGACTCCCTGTTTAATTGCCCAATAAATCTCAAGTGATTTGAGGTATTTCAGTTGTGCCTTATCCGATACTCTGTGTAATCTCTGTGTAACAATTTACCATTTTGCAGTTCAATGCATACTTCCTCATTACCTGCATACATCGATAATGCCATAGTAGTCAGCTTTTTTCTTATGGAATATTCATGTTTTTTCATCCTCATGGCAAGACCTGTTGCTGTTGCTCCAATGTATGTTAATGAGCAGTTAATTCAGTTGTCATGGAGAGGTACCGTATAAACCCCTGGAGAGTATGAGTCATCTGTATGATTTTTATCATTTCTGATGAGAGAGAGGATTGTTGGAGAGCATCAATGTGTTACATGCACTTTAGTGGTTTTTGCAATTTCTCTATATATATTAGAAAGTGTTTCATTGAATGTGATAACTTTCATTTGTTTGTCTTGCAGAATAATCCTCTCCCTCTTATTTATATATTGTTTTATGAGATGTTTGACCAAAGAGGGCTTTTTATGAGATGTTTGACTGGTGATGGTTTGGTGAGTGGGATATTTACAATTACCCAGTTTTTGAGATATAATGTACTTATATTTTTATTTTTTTATATCCTGTGATATGGTCCATACCCAACCCAGCATAGGTTGGGTATGGAGCATATCACAGGTGTCATTGCCATAATCACCCCAATTGTGGTAATGGCAGCTGTGATATGGTGTTTCAGATTCTGGATATTTTGTGGTAGGAACAGTATGCATACTCTTTCCTTCACATAACCCCACAAAAAGAAGTTGCATACAGTCAAGTCTGATGATCTGGATGGCCAGCATGTGAGTACCTGGTCAAGTGCTGACACATGGATAATCTAACAATATGACAATTCTCAAAACATAGTAACGTAATATAATTTTCATGTCTCTCTCTCTCTCTCTCCTCAACCAATGGTTGGTGGGCAAACATGGATGTGTGCAGTATCATAGCTTTTTCTTCGCTTAGCTAGCTGTTTTATCTGTTGGTAAGACCTTTTCTGTAATAACTCGTCAAGATATTCCATTCTGGGTCTTTTACGTCCCCTCTATCTTTCCTTCCAAGAAAACATTCATCCATTCCAAGTGTCAAATTAGGTGGCCAATCATGTAATTTCTCCTTTTCTCTATCATTGTCAAAGTCTCTCTCTTCTCTATTGCCTCCTTTAAAACATCCTCGTTTCTCTTTCTCTCCATTCACGACACTCCATTCTTCGTCACCACCACATCTCAAGGGTCTCCAGTTTTCTTTTCTCTGCTATTTGGAGTGTCCATGTCTCTGAACTGTACAATGCTATGCTCCAGATGAAACTCTTAATTAATGAATCGTTTCCTAGCATCGTTTGATATATTTTTTGATGTTAAAATCTGTCGTTTTCTATAGAGTTTTGCTTGGGCTATTCTTGCAGTAACATCTCTTCCATTCCTTCTGCCTGAGGTAATTATGCTTCCTAGGTACATGAACTCATTGACTTCTGCTATTTTTTCATCGTCCAAATAGATGTTCATTTCTCCTTGTTCCTTTTATTTTGTTTTTTTTTTTTTTTGAACATTTCATTATCTTTGTTTTTTTCTTATTTATTCTCATCTCACATTGTTTAAATTTTCAAGAGCTATCTGTAGATCATCCACGTCTTCTGCTATCATTGTGATGTTGTCAGCAAATCTTATTGTGCTGTACAACTTTCCATTCACTTTTATATTTTTTGTATTAGTAACATAGAATTCTTTCATTGCCTCTTCTATGTATATGTTGAAGAATAGTGGTGATAGTCCACAACCTTATCTTACTCCTTTCATTCGGTTTCTTCTTCTCTTCCTATAACCACAGTTTGATTCTTGTATATCTGGTGTAGTATTTGCCTATCCCTGTAGTATACCTTCAGGTTCCTCAGTGATCTGAACATTTTGTTCCAGTCTACATTGTAAAAAGCCTTCTCTATGTCTATAAATGCTATGAGTGAGTGCCTGCCTTTTTACCCAAATAAGCTGTTCGATGAGCATCCTTAGGCTTAGCATAGCTTCTCGTATACCTTTGTTTCATGTGAAACCAAATTGGTCTTCTGATAGGTTTTCTTCTACTTTTCTTTCTATCTTTCGATAGATTATTCCACAGAGAATTTTTGATATGTGTGAGACTGGACTTAGTGTCCTATGATCCTCACATTTCTGTGCTCCTTTCTTCTTTGGAATCAGAACCATTATGCTCTTTTCAAAATCTTTTGGCACTTGGCCAGTTATATACATTTCATTGATGAGTCTGTACAGATCATTTTTAGTGTTTTCTCCTAGGGCCATTATAAGTTCTACGGGTATCTGGTCTGCACCAGGTGCCTTGTCTTTTCTCATTCCCTTTAGTGTCTTATCGAATTCACATTTTAAGGTTGATGGTCCCAAATCATTTGCATCAACCAGTTTCTCCTCTTCAATCAGTGACTCGTCCAACTTGTCCCCCTTTGTAAAGTTTTTCAATGTATTCCTTCCATTATTGTGCAATTTGTTTTTTCTCAATTAGGATATTTCCCTGTTTATCCATGAATGTACCTGTATATTTCTTTCCCTCACTAAACTGTCTTTTTACCTGCCTATACGCCTATATTTCCTTTTTTCATATTCTCATCTATTTCCTTACATGCTATGTTAATCCATTCTTCCTTTGCTTTTTTCATTTCTCTGTTAATTAAGTTCCTGTTCTGTAGTTTTCATGTTTGTGTGCTATTTTGTAAAGCCTTCTCTGCTCCATAATTTCCAGTATTTCTGTTGTAATCCACGGTTTGTAAACTATTCTGCTTTCTTTACCAATATATTTATCTGTAGCTTCCATGATTCCTGTTTTGATATTATTCCATTTCAAATCTATGTCATTGTTTGTTACCTTATGTAAGTTTGTCAACTCAAGCATTACTGTTTGCATGAATTCCTTCTGAGCATTGGTATCTTTTCTTAATTTTTGTATGTTCTATCTTCTGTACAGTTTTATCATTTTGTTCTTTTTAAGGTGTAGGTGGCTCTTCATTAATTAATTAATACCAGATTGTGGTCTGAGTCAACATCTGCACGAGGATAACTCTTGCTCACTTTCACTTGGTTTCTGTACCTCTGTCACACATGGATATAATCAATTTGGAATCGTTCTGTATCTCCTGGTTTAGTCTAAGTATATCTTCTCTTTGGCTGCTTGAACAAGGTGTTGGATACAATGAGATCATGACTTCTGCAAAACTCTACTAGTCTGGTTCCCCTGGTGTTTCTTCTTCCTAATCCAAAGTTATCAACGATATTGTCTTCCTTGCCTTCTCTGACAATTGCATTCCAGTCTCCAGTCTCTCATGTAACAATTCATAATTTGGTAAACTTATAAATTTTAATTATTGTCCTGGAGTTTAATTAATCTTTTCTTTTTATAATTTTTTAAAACAGAAATATATATTACCATTTTTAATAAAATAAGCAACATTATTTTTTGCAAAAACAAATATAAAAAAAACTTTCAAAAAATATCTCTTTAATCCTGTATTCATAAAAATCTTATTTTTTAAAGTTAGAAAATCACAGCAAACAAAAAATTACTAAGTATTTTAGTACATTACCTACTTCAAGAAATTCAATTATGACTAAAACTGGAAAAAATTTTTTATCAGTTTAATTTCTGTTAAGATACAAAAACCTTTGTTCAGAGAAAGGATTTTTGAATGGATGATGATGATTTCATAAATTTTATATCATTACTTGCTTATTATTTAAATTTAAAAAATTGATTCTCTTTAAATTTATCAAATTATATTCACTTATATGATCATCTGTAATATTCAGAAATTAATTTCCAATTTAGTACATTTTTAATTGTATATGTTTTACTGATTAAAACATTTTGTTCACATTTGTAGCTAGTTTCATCAAAATTCAGTTGATTCATTGATTCTTTATCCGTNTATATATTTTTTACATTTAATATATATTAAATGTAAAAAAACTAATAATCTTATTTTTCTACCAATTTTAGCCTGTAAGTATTTTTCCCCAATGTACCAATGATATATCTTTCTGGATACCAAATGAATTTGAACCAAACGACTTTTTTGAACTTGTAAGAAGCATTGGTGGAGATTTAATAGAACAGGTATATCTAATTGATGAGTTTTTTCACAAAAAGAAGCAACAGACAAGTCATTGCTATAGGATAGTATATAGACACATGGAAAGAACTCTTCGTCAAGATGAAGTCAATGCTGTACATCAGGAAATTGAAAACCAGGCTGAAAAATTATTAAACGTCGTTGTACGTTGAATAAATTGCTTGTAGCATTTAAATAAATAAAATAAAAAGATAACGTATTCGTATGAAAATTAAATTTCCATTAAAAGTCATACTTTGAATTAGACATACACAGTCTATTTCAAAACTTTGTGTTATCTTCAAAGAAAAGAAGAATGATTAACCTGGAAGTTCGAATCTGTGTATAAAGGTCAGTTCATACTTAGTGAGAATGGGGGAAAAAGAACGTCTCTCTTTTTTCTATTATTCTCTTCCTGTAAGACTGCGTTCATTCTTCCAAAGAACGAAAAAGAATCGCGCTTGTTCTTTTGGTGCTTGCAGTTTAAAATAAAGCTTTGAAAGCATAGCGAAAGTAAAATTTGAGTCGTAAAATTCCTTTAAAAATTAGATATGGTTAATTAATTCGAGAAGAAGAGAGAACGGAAACTATTATAATCTTCTAAAAGAAATGATTTACAATTTTCGATATTTTAGGTAAATTTTAAATATGTAGGTCTGTGTAAAGATAATATTTATTCGGATACGTTTAACTTAAAATATACAAATGATAAATTACGATTCATCGAAAAGAATTCTTCTCTAATTTTAATTATTTCAATTTTATCAGTTTCCATGTTGAAGGACGGGAAGGACTGTAGACTACCAACTGGGAGAAAACTAGAACTTCTGTTGATATTTAGTAACAATAAAAAAACAGGAAGTAGTCTATGTCACTGTTAATACGCGAAGTGTTGCGCATTAAACCTATTTAGTGTCATTCTTTCGTTTTTGTGAATTTTTTTCCGTTTCCGAATTGGATGAACCAATTTCGGTTCTGTCCTGTCCGTTTCCATGGGAATTTCGCGGGAAACGGGATTCCCACGCATCTTTACCCAGAATAGTTGTGGGATACGGACTCTTAAGACCAACACATAACCACTATGCCAACTACCGGTGCAAATACATTTGTGCCAGTAAATATAAATCCAACATANCTGAGAACAGAATGCCAAGCCACGATCTGGCCACGTGAATAAGTTGAAGTTACATCCTTCTAACAGGAAAAGTAACTTTCGTTATCATGGAATTATAACAAAACTTGCCAATTCAATATAAATGGAAAAAAAATATTATATGGAATTCAACGAAAATGAAAATTTGCTTGATAATTCAACTACGCCTGTTGGAGAACAATAAAAACACTACACTCAACACCCATTTAATATTATTACAACGAAATACAAGTTCAAAGACATATATACATGTCATATATATACCACCAATAAAACTCAACTGCCTAACCTATAACCAAAGTCTCCTTTTAATTTGTTTTTTAAAAAAAGCGTTTGACAAACTTGCCCCGGTCTCCCCTAAATCCAACATAAAATTTTTTTCCACTCTTTCGATCGAGGATTTCTGATTATGTATAACTTTAATTTTGCATAAACTTTTTTTTTACTTTAAACATGACACATTTAAAAGTCGAGTAGTCATTTTGTTGACTTTTCTTATAAGGGCGCATTCACACATTTTCTATTCCCTTAGGTCAAACTGTCACTTGGGGAGCACACGAGTAAACACATTCGATTATTTGCAGAACATCGGTTCGTTGCGGGAACGACGAATGTTGTCCGAAATCTAGAAAATGGATAATTCTCGAATATTCATTTCCTTTAATTCGGCACAATTGGTAACGGATTCCGAATATTCGTCACGAGTAAACCATCCACACTACTCTGCATTAGGCGAATAGAGAATGTGTGAAAGAACCTTAAGATAAAATCTTTCTGGACATCTGGACATGTTTTATAATAATTTACAACGAAGGATTGCATAATGTTATAGACAAATTTTCTGTCAAGACACAATATCTATTGTCTATAGAATTATTAAAAACTGAATATAAATGATAATGAATAATTTCCACAATGTTACCGATTCATCATAAATTCCATAAATTATTTAATCTTTGGCCATTGGCCTTATTCAAGTGTCAAATAAATACATATATGAAAAGCAGCCAAACAACAGAGAAACAATAACAAAAAGAAAAAGAAAAAAACTACAACTCAAAGCTAAATACAATTCAATTATTTAACTATATTGTAGTAATGTTGATGAGTAATATTACATCATTACTGTTAAAGAAGCAATAGTACTTCTTTTGAAACAGTATTTTTTCCAACGTTTTTTAGTGAATGACCTTGAAGATACACAGGGAAGCATTATGGATACCAAATGAATTTGAACCAAACGACTTTTTTGAACTTGTAAGAAGCATTGGTGGAGATTTAATAGAACAGGTATATCTAATTGATGAGTTNATTTCCACAATGTTACCGATTCATCATAAATTCTATAAATTATTTAATCTTTAATCTTAAACGACACAATGGCCTTATTCAAGTGTCAGATAAATACATATATAAAAAGCAGCCAAACAACAACAAAGAAAAAGAAAAAAAAACACAACTCAAAGCTAAATACAATTCAATTATATTATATATACAGTAATACCCTAAACTTACGCGATAGGTGGGACCGAGCAGTAACCGCGTAAGTCGGGGTATAATTTCGCATATAAATACATACAAATAATTTTTAATTGGGGCCAGAGACTAAAGAAAACAATAATTTTGAAAAAAATGTTTAATAAAATCTTAGATAATAACAAATTAGGCCTATATTATTTTACAATTTTTCACATTTACTTGATTATTACGCCATAATTTTAACATTGTTTCCATCTCAGCGATAATACTGTGACGTTTACGAATGATGCTTGAATTTAAAGATTGAGCATTTTTCACAGCTTCGAGAATTTTTTCTTTGCCTTTTATAATTGTTCTGACCGACAATTCCGGTAGATCAAACTTCTTTGCCAATTCACAAATTTTCATTTTTGTATCGAAGTCTTTAATAATGGGTACGTTCGTAAAGTCAAACGAGTTAAACGCGTTAGTAACGAATCGTTCGAAAAGTCTAACGAAATAGGAATAACGATGACGTCATTCTCGTTTAACTCGTTCGACTTTACGAACATACCCAATGTTAACTTTACATTCCAAAGATAAAGTTTTTCTTTTCTTGTTTGATGCAGAAGAATTAGTTCTACTTCGTTTGGATGACATAGTAGAGTCTCTCGAGTCTCCGTAGATATAACAAACACAGAAATAAATAACACAAAATAAATTGTAGCTATGTGTGGATTCCGCGCGACACATCCGAACATGTAAGCTGAACAATAGTGTGGGGGGAGTGAGTAATCAAGGGTTGCGTGGCGCTCAAACAAAAGACGAATCGACGAGGTTTGAAAATCGCGTAACTCCGGGTTAGCGTAAGTCGGGGTATTACTGTATAGTTAAATATTGCTATTATAGTTAAATATAATGTAGTAATATTGATGAGTAATAATACATCATTACTGTTAAAGAAGCAATAGTACTTCTTTTGAAACAGTATTTTTTCCAACGTTTTTTAGTGAATGACCTTGAAGATACACAGGGAAGCATTATGTAGTCTTCAGGGACAGTGATTTACTGGCTAGTTATTAACGATTAATCATTACATTAATTTAATTAATTAATCGATAGATCGATAGAATTGCATTTCTTCTTTAATAGAGTAGGGAGAGAAATGAGGAGCAGAAAAAAAATTACACAGGAAATATCTATTCGTCTTCAAAAGATTAGAGTTCAAATATTGACAGAAATTTAAGGAATTCAATTTCGCTAAATATCCATTAGCGAAAAATCCAAAAACTGAAAACATTAACTTGTTTAAGAACACATTAATACATTCTTGAAATATTTGCCGTATTACAAAGTAATTAAATTGGTAAATGAGGGAGGTGGGACGTATTGTACTGTACCTGTACTGCACATCATTTACAAGTTTATAAATCTGATATTTTCCCCCTCGATAATCATTACTAGAAAAGCCATTAACAAAGCAACATGATAAAAAGGATTAAAAAATTATTAATTCGTCATCGGCTATTTAAAACAGAATTTTTGAATGCGTTGAAAAACCCAGAAGCAGCAAACTGTACTTATTGCGTTCTAAAACCATTGCTGGACTTCCAAACACCACTTGGATTTTGCGCTATAAATCCTTGTCACCATCACATTAATTATCTATTTCGAAATCGTTTTCATAATATACGCCATTATTTGATCATTGTAATATGTTGGGCTGTTGCTGGACTGATAACATTTTCTCCATTTTTAGACGACGATCCCGATTTTCATTTATTCAATATATATATGCACGGAAACGTGAACGAATCTGGAAGAATAGCATGCATATCGGGATTGTATATTTTCTTAACAGTCGAATTAACGTACTTTTCAACTATGCGTATTACTTTGCCAAAAGAATTTGATAAAATAGCAGGAATTCTGATCTATATTATGCCAATTGCGATTTATATAACGTTAGTAATTTTGTCTACAATGCCACCGATATGGTTATATTATAATTGTTCTACTACTTCGAATAAGTTTATGTGGAAATATGTACTGGCAAAAACGTTAGCGGGCGCATTTTACGTTTATATCGTAAGCTATTTCTTAATAGTTGTGGAAATAATAACCATAAGTATTGTTTTCTTAATTCTAAGTTTTCGTAAGATTGTCGATGATCTTTCTAGCCATGTTCAGAACGAAAATACGTATAATTTTCTTAGAGAAATCGATCGAAGACACGAAGATCTTTCTCGATTTATTTACAATTTAAATCATTGCTCTAACAATGCAATTGGGATAGGATACTTCTTTTCCTTGGGAGAAATACCTTTGTTGCTTTATCTGTCCTTTTTCCAATCTGATATACTGGAAAATGTTGATATAATCTCAATACTATTTATTTTTCTCTTTGTATTTTCGTTATTTGCATTTATAGGCGGAGAAATAGAAAATGCGGTAAGTGCTCTCAATGTACTTTTAAGATAAAATATATTATCCTGTTCTGATCCTTTTTTGAATTTTCAAATATTTATTTGTTAAAGAATTAATTAACTTTAAAATATTTTCAGGTCAGAACGCCATTCCATGTTATTTCTGTGTACGTTCGAAGTCCATTAACTTTAGTTCAAAAAATGAAGGTAAGAAATATTTTTATAATAAACTTTTATTTTATGAATGCAAAACATGTTTTAAGATATATTTTAGTTCTTTTTAATCGTGCATTTGCATATATTTTTTAAATTTTACGTTTAAATCTTAAAAATTAGTTTACATATACTAAGAGTATGGCAGGTATGAAGGAAATAGCGAGTTACAAGAACACAGGGTTACTAAATAAAAGGGCAACGACAGTAAATAACCTTTTGAGGAATGATAAGGATGGGATTAAGGATAGAGAGTAATCTGAGATATAAAGAGTACCGTATAGGAATGATCAGTTAGCCTTGAACAAAGAATACATAGGAGTCACCAACAAGAATCTTAAAATACGACTCGCCCACCAGTGGCCAAGCGGTCTTCGTTCCCTGAACGCTGGGAGTTCGGTCGTGGGTTCGCGCCTCGATCGGACGGACTGACCATGTGGAATTTTCCGGGTTTTCTCCACGTCTATAACGCCTAAATAGGGGCCAGTTTCCCTTCAAAAGACCTCCCTGAAGGCATCCCCTTAGGCAGATCGCCAAGTGTTATGTTGCCATAACTAAACAAACATAAAATACGACTTAAGAAACATGATTTTAATATAAGGAAAGGACAAGGTTGAATTAGTTCGTTCGATAGCTGTGATATCACTAAGCAAAATATTGATTTTTAGAAACGCATTCAAGCGCCTGTCGCTATCGTTACCAAAAAGTGGTGGGAGTTTAAATTCACGGTAAAAAGGCTCATTGGGTTCAGATTTTCATATACCTGTTGCCACACGTCTGTTCGATAGTCAGTCATTAAGCACAGCTGACGGAAATTGATAATCATAGGGCCATCATCGTGTTGAGAGAAGTATAATGGCCGTTTCGCCGAATTTCCGCTATCTCCGTTGTGAGGAAGTGAATATTTCAAGGCATACACACACAGGCAGACTCTACGGACGTCCCAGTTGCACACACAAGCCGTTTGGGTTCAAGCCTCTCTAAAAACCCTGTCTCTCCCCGCAGTGCCGGCCCGAGGCAAGTTTTAGGATGGAGCGAGATCCTATTTTGGCGCCCCCCGAAAATATCGAAAAGTAAAAAAAAAACATTTTTTTTTTATTTTTTTACCACTGAGGCGCCCCTAGGATTTAGCGCCTGGAGCGACTGCTCCGTTCGCCCTATGGTAGGGCCGGCGCTGTCTCCCCGTACCATCGGCAGGCGACTAGAAGAGGTAAATTTGCATGCGCAGTAATCTCTACGCGTCTTGCCATTAGCATCTCAACATCGTCAGCTTTGTTAACAGTGGTACCCTCGAAAACCACTTAAAACATATTTTGTGCAGACTGGTAACCTTGTATTATGTAATTTTAATATTCGAATGCCACTATACCGGTTGGTTCGATAGCAAGAAGGAACTCTTTTAACTATCCGCCCTGTGGGCACTAAGAGGACCTTTTTTAGCAAGCCCATTATGGATTCAGCCAGGCCCACAGTGGGGCGGCCAGGTGATGAGGAACGGGGCCTGACATATCCAGACGGACTATCCCCCGAAAAATTCATGGGATTTTTCGACCCGTTTGGAGGCTACCACCTTGACCGCTCGGCCATCCGGCCGTAGGAAGACTGTTGCTTATGGAAATTGAAGTTTGTTAAGTTAGGGCAACGCAACACTTGGGTGATTTGCCTAGGGGATGCCTTCCGGGAGGTCTCTTTAAGGGAAACTGGGCCCCTATTTAAGCGTTATACAGACGTGGAGAAAACCCGAAAAACTCCATGTGGCAGCCCGTCCGAGCGAGGCGCGAACTGACGACCGAACTCCCAGTGTTCAATGTATGAAGACCGCTTGGCTACTGGTGGGCTGGAGATTGAAGTAATTCGGCCAATAGTAGTCATTGAACTCTCTTCCTGGAAGAGAGGATGTTCAACTACTAATTAATACTGAGTCTACAGTATTATTTGAGAAATGATCCGTATTGCATGGGTTGTGATGACCCCGCATATGATAGAAGTTGCTAACCTTAATTAACGTGAAAAAGACTTCATACTTGTTTAATTAAAATAATCTTGTTAATATGGAGAAAAATTGCTTTTATGTGATAATATTGCTTATATTTTTAACAAGACTGTACTGTACGTTCTCGTAAATATTGTATTTACAGAAAAATTATTGGGCTGCAATTTGAAAAAACTGTACATATAGTAGGTTAAACTTAAATTATGTTTTATTTTTTTAGATATTGTGTTTGATGAAAAGATTAGGTGGTTCTCCCATTACCGTTACATGTATGGGATTTTTTACTATTAATAAAACATTCATGTACAGGGTAAGGTTTTCTTTAATAATCTTTTAAAATAAATTTAAATTAATTCCTTAATTATTTCAAGATTTTTTAAAAATTATTTATATTTAAAAACCGAAATTTACTCGATCTCGCATAATTTCATTATATTCTAGTCTTTTTCCACGATTTTATTTCACTTAAATTCAAATAGAAACTTTATATATAACAAAGTTAAATAAATATAAACAGCATTTATATATAATTTTTCAGGCATATAAAGCTCTTTCCTCAACATTCACTACATTATTAGAAATCCAGACATCAGAAAAGCAGTGTGTTAATTCAACGAAGGAAATATGGAAAAAATTATTTTGAATATTCATACATTTCTTGTGTTATTAAATAGAATGATTTTACTGTATTTTGCAAATAGATTTAAAGTGTAACTTTGGAATATTCACAAGGCAGCATACTGTATAAAAATGTGATGCAAAATTTTCAAATTTAAATTTAGAAGATAGAATTTAAAAATTAGAAAAATAATTTTATTTGTATAAATATTTTGATAATTATCTTATTGTGTAAAATTTAACCAAATGTTGTAAAATATGATCAATGTATCAATGTGACTGTCTTAATACATTTTATGAAACTGCTATGAATAATGTGAAGATTTTTGAATGAATTGTGGTCTGTTGACTGTGTAATTAGGTTGTATAATTTTATATATAAATTTTATACAACCTAATTACACAAACTACAACAGTTTTAAAATAGGTTTCATTTTGCATTTTGTGTGTACCATAATCTCATGAAATTGTCTTCAAACAACAAATAATAAACATAGAATTCAAAAATTTAAAGGAAGCCTGATTCTAAAAAGTTGTCATTTAGTTTTTAAGTACATTTTTTTGACAAAATTTAATACCACCTAAAATATAACACAAATATGAAAGTTTTAATGAAGAAAATTACAGTATTTGATAAATGTAGAAACTTTTTTTTTTTTGAGAAACTATCAGTTGTTATTTAAAATGAAGGAAATCTTATGTTAATATATATTACGATTTTCAGCAGGCTTAATTATTTCTAAGGAAATATGAAATTATTTTCAACAAGTTTGTAAAGCTAAAATAAAAACTTAAAACAAATGGTGTACACTTCAATATTCCGTCTTTATTTTTATGTAAATTGTACATTATTCAGCACTCTTTTTTGGTGGAGGAGGTTCCAAACTTTCCGCTGCCTCCTTTGCTTTCTTCTGTCGTTTTCCCCACAGGCGAGAATGAGCTCTACCTTGCCTTAATGCAATAAATGCATTGAAGTTCTTTTCTTCTTCACTTGGAACTCTTGCTTTCTCTTTCCTAATTGGCTGATGGATAGGCATTATAACTCCTTGCAGTTGAGTCGCCATTTTTATTTCTTCAGCCTAAATTTAATTTGTTATTAATATAAAATATTAATTTAAATACTGTTTAATTAATAAAACATTTCTTACACTAGCATCATTCTTTCCAGGTTTAGTCATATTTCTTGGGAAAAGTATTAATTTGGATTTATACTCCTTTAATCGCTGAACATTTTGTTGTAATGCTTCAACACTCTTATTTCTTCTTCTGTAATCAATAGAAATACCAATGGTTCTAGCTTCTCTTTTATGAATTCCAGCAGCCTATTAAATATCAAATTTTCTGATCAGATAACAATGATACAAAGCTATAGATACAAATATTGTATAATCAAGCTTTAAAGAAAAATTTTCTCTTTAAAATATTTTACCAAAACTTTCTAAAACAAATTTTTTTTGAATGAACATGTTTACCATCTTCATAATAAATACTAATATTAAAATATTAGCCCAATAGTTCATTTAATGTTAACTGACTTAAAATGAAAATTTTAAAACTTTTTTAAAAAGCAGGCAAATTTATAAAACAAAAATTAATGAAATTACTAATAATTTCAAATAAATTTAAATTTGATTATCTTTTGTGCAAAACAATGCTAAAATAATTTCTATAGTTATGTTGAAAAAGAAAGAGAGTTGCAATTAATGAAAAAAAAATCTGTAATAAAGGGTTCAGAAAATGCAAGCAAAATTAAATAAATTAAAACTAAAAATAATAATACTAAAACCAAAATTTAAAATAAAATCAATTGAAAATTAAAACAATGTTTTTAACAAACTTTTAAAAATTTTTCAAATTGTAAATTAAATTAATTTTTAAATTACATTGTGTGTGTGTTATGTGTTGCACTGACAGATTGTTTTACTTTTAATATATACAGATCAAACTTAAAGAATAGTCGCTATGGGAGCAAACAAATAGCCATCTCTTCAACTCCAAGTCTGAGTCAAAAATGAAGTCTTTTTGTATCTCCTATCACTGCACAAAGACCTTCCTTCCTTCCTTCTTAATCCTTTCCACAAATTTATGCAGTGAAAGTTAACAAATGGTCCTTTCGAGAAACAAATTGTAGACCCCTATGCAACCTAGTGTGACTTACTTATATATATGCTGCTTCTTTGTAAAGTGTTGGTTAGTTTTGGTACCAAATATAGAGATTTTTAGAATAATGATGGAAAACATGATTTTTAGAATTTATCATAATTAAAGTAGAATAACCACACATTGTTAAATGTTTGGTTTTTCAATGTACTTTGTAGAATACATTAACATTCATTTACTTGCTTGCTACTGTTTAATAGTAAGAGTTCAAAATGCAGTTTTATTTCCACTTAACATACTTACAAGGGAACTGTCGGAGTGTCTTCTAATAAATTTTAATAAAATTTAGTTAATAACTAAGTTAAAAGTATACAAACTCTATTTTAAATTTGTAGCATTCACTAAAAGTATTGATCAGAGTTATTAGCAATCAAATGTTGCACTATTTTATAGTAGTTTAACACAGTTATGCAAATTTTTAGAAGTGAAAGGGTCGCAGAGGAAGACGGCGATATTACATTTAGAATAAATTCTGGAATTTTCAAAAATAGTAGAAGAATTAATAAAATTTAGTTAATAATTATGTTAAAAGTATACAAAATTTTATTAATTCTTCAACTATTTTTGAAAATTTCAGAATTTATTCTAAATGTAATATCGCCGTCTTCCTCTGCGACCCTTTCACTTCTAAAAATTTGCATAACTGTGTTAAACTACTATAAAATAGTGCAACATTTGATTGCTAATAACTCTGATCAATACTTTTAGTGAATGCTACAAATTTAAAATAGAGTTTGTATACTTTTAACTTAGTTATTAACTAAATTTTATTAAAATTTATTAGAAGACACTCCGACAGTTCCCTTGTAAGT